AGCATTCTGCATCTAAAGAAGCAAACGATGTTTTCCATCTGTGATAACAAGGAAATGCCAAAGTTCCAATTTCCTTGACATTTTATTGCATTTACTTTTGTCTAAAATGAGTATATAACATTATCTTATATAAAAGGAAAACATATCTTGATGATCTTGAGACACATCTTGAAAACCTTCTCTACCAGACATCCAGACATGCTAGAAAAAATATATATATAACAAATAACCCCATTTAAATGCATAGGCAAGTTTGCAGAAACTAAGAGAAATCAAGAAAAAAACAGAGGGAATCCGAAATCGGAGTGATAAACTGATATTTAAAATTTAGCTGAGTTCAGCACTTGCTAATCTCAGGAACCTAGAGATCTGGCTTTTAAGATTTGTTGCAAGCCAGAAAACAAAATCAAAGGCTGTCCTAATGTGAGCCAGGGGCTCTTGAACTGCTATACCTTCAGTGAAGGAGCAGACAGAAAATAAACAAGTCACCTACAAAAATAGATGACAGGGAAACATGTATTTCAGCATAAAACCAGGTCTGTAATTTAAATTTACCCTATCTGTGTGGTCCAGGAGGCCCAAGCTAAGAAAATAACAAAGCAGTCTTGTGTTAGAGGAGTGCCTGGGCTGCCTGACAGAGCCAGTGCAAATCCTCTTCAAAGGGATGTGCCCTTAACCCCATCCTTAGACAATTTCACAGATCAAACAACGTGAAAGTACAAAAGAGCTAATAGACTCATCTCAGTGCAAATTAAACAACTGCGGAGTATCTTCCTTTTTTTTTTTTTTTTTTTTTCCAGGAAAAGAACACTTTCCTATGTTAATGTTAGCCCAAATACACGGGAGGAAACAATAAGATTTGGATGAATTCCCCAGAATTTAGTCAGGAAGGGTAAGATAATCCACCAAGTGCTCAGGAGAAAGTAGAAAATAAGTAGGACCACCGTTTTTTTCAATTACATGCTAGAGATCTGAAACCTCAGAGCATTTCTGACTTCCTGGAAGGGCCAAGATAATGGATTTAAAGCAGCTACCAAAACGGAACTAAGAATGATTGGGAGTTAGTGACTAAACTATAGCATAACAGGACCATGATTATAATTAAAGACATCTTTAAAGCAAGTAATCTGGATAAATGCAGACAGAATTGGTAAGTAACTTTAACTGCTACTGAGGTTTTTTTTTGTGCTAACAATAGTGTGGAATGCTCAGTAATCTCTTCCTAATTCTTATTCTCAGTATATTTTGGGTTCACACAAATCAGAAACCAAAGTTAGATTGTTTCTAATTGGCAGCAAACCAGAGGGGACAGGAGACTGGTCAAGTCTCTGAGTTGTCCACTCCAAGATATGGACAATGAGTATATGAAGACAGACAGAGCCACCCTTTGAACAAATGGCAACAACTATATAGTATAAATAGGATGCACTGAAAATAGTAGGCTTATTTCTTAAACTGTCATCACCAACATTAACCAGTAATTATATTTCTCCACTTTTTGTAGAAGATATAAATGGCAAATTCCGAATTTATAATTTCTAATACTTCATTTTTCTGCTCTTGTGAAGTTCATTTTGAACTCTCAACATGAAAATATTAAATATTTTTAATTGTGCACATTGGAACTTGTATTACTTTGGACTTACATTGGCTGAAATTGAAATACAGTAAAAGTGCGCCAGAGTAAGCAGATCAGTTCATCAGAACGACAGCCTTTCAATGGAAAGGGCATTCCCAAGCTGCACCAACGAAAGCATAATCGTGTTACCTGCCCTAACCTGACAGCTCTGAATTAGTCTGATCCACCTATGTGCCGTACAAAGCATTATATTGCTCTGATTTCAAAAACTGAACTTGAACTACACCTTTTCAGAGAAACAAACCATGCTTAGAAATCTGCCACAAATATCTATACATTGGTCTTGAATTCCTCCAGGAATTTGCACCTACTCATGCTGTTACTCTTCACTCTATGATTTCTTTGTTTTTCAGTCCCTGTTGACACTTAAATTTTACTCTGTAGGGAGATTCTCATGTTTGACTCCATTAAGCAAGCTTTGAAACACACTCACACAGGGTGTTACTTCCAGAACCTTCCTGCCAGTTCCTTGCGTCCACACCATGAGAAAGAGCAAACATTCCTAAATCCCCCCAAAAAATCAAATTATTTGGGGTGAGGAAAAGTCTTGACTATGACACTGAAGATTTCCTGAAGAGATCCAGTATCCCAAATGTACTGAGATGGGGAGGAAATTGCACAAGTAGCAACCAGAGAAAAAGAGTGCTATCCACAAACAACCCAGATCCTCCCAAACTAAGGCAAACCTGCCCTTTACGTCCTACATTATTGCTACATCTATGCAGCTTCTGACTTTCCAAAGTTTACTTTCCTTTTTTAGTCCCAAACTTATCTCTCAGATTTGATAAATTCAATTTTCTTGGGTTTGAATTTCAATATTACTAAAGACAAGTAAGGTTAATCTTCTGTCTCATTGGGCCCCTAAATATTTTAAGAAACACTCCATTAACCACATTTTGATCTTCTTTACTGCTGTTTTATTCTAGCATTTCTCTACTCCCACCACTCTGTTCCTCTCTCTCTCTCTCTCACACACACACACACACACACACAATTGGAGTAAATCCAGGACAAGGACATTCACAATCTTGCCATATTCTGTATTCATTAGACTTCATCTTAAGCACTGTGTTCAATTCAGATTTTGAAGGCACATTAACCAACTGTAGAACAATGGAGTCCAGGACTGCCCTAGAGGACCGGTTGAAGGAACTAGAGAGGTATAACTAGAAAAGATACTTTTTTAGATCCTTCAGTTGTTAAAAGTCCCTAGTAATCTATTACAAACTGAGTGATTTTAATAGTTCTTAACCATTTGCTAACATATGTTTGCAGTGAGGTCCTATGTGTTTGTACTCAGTTCTCTGTCTTTTTTAAAAGGGAATTTTACTTTAGACTATACATTTTCTAAAATTAGAAAAATTATTTTGGAAAAAAAAGTTTGAGTATTACTTTGAAGATTTCATGGAGCTGCTGCTTCCAATCATCTGATCACTTCAGATGGTCTGATAATGTTAGATAAAACCTCTTTATCAGTAATGCACTGGAGTCCTGCAGCACTACTTTCCATATTCAACAAAACCTCTCTTTGCATAGATACATGTGTGTAAAAGCAGAACATTCATACTGAGGCCAGAGTGCCATCGAAGGTAATTACAGAGACAGTAAAATCCTTTTACGCTGGGAAAAATAAAATGTTAGGTGTCTCATAAAATTTCACCACTTTTTGTAGAAGATATAAATGGCAAATTCCGAATTTATAATTTCTAATACTTCATTTTTCTGCTCTTGTGAAGTTCATTTTGAACTCTCAACATGAAAATATTAAATATTTTTAATTGTGCACATTGGAACTTGTATTACTTTGGACTTACATTGGCTGAAATTGAAATACAGTAAAAGTGCTCCAGAGTAAGCAGATCAGTTCATCAGAACGACAGCCTTTCAATGGAAAGGGCATTCCCAAGCTGCACCAACGAAAGCATAATCGTGTTACCTGCCCTAACCTGACAGCTCTGAATTAGTCTGATCCACCTATGTGCCGTACAAAGCATTATATTGCTCTGATTTCAAAAACTGAACTTGAACTACACCTTTTCAGAGAAACAAACCATGCTTAGAAATCTGCCACAAATATCTATACATTGGTCTTGAATTCCTCCAGGAATTTGCACCTACTCATGCTGTTACTCTTCACTCTATGATTTCTTTGTTTTTCAGTCCCTGTTGACACTTAAATTTTACTCTGTAGGGAGATTCTCATGTTTGACTCCATTAAGCAAGCTTTGAAACACACTCACACAGGGTGTTACTTCCAGAACCTTCCTGCCAGTTCCTTGCGTCCACACCATGAGAAAGAGCAAACATTCCTAAATCCCCCCAAAAAATCAAATTATTTGGGGTGAGGAAAAGTCTTGACTATGACACTGAAGATTTCCTGAAGAGATCCAGTATCCCAAATGTACTGAGATGGGGAGGAAATTGCACAAGTAGCAACCAGAGAAAAAGAGTGCTATCCACAAACAACCCAGATCCTCCCAAACTAAGGCAAACCTGCCCTTTACGTCCTACATTATTGCTACATCTATGCAGCTTCTGACTTTCCAAAGTTTACTTTCCTTTTTTAGTCCCAAACTTATCTCTCAGATTTGATAAATTCAATTTTCTTGGGTTTGAATTTCAATATTACTAAAGACAAGTAAGGTTAATCTTCTGTCTCATTGGGCCCCTAAATATTTTAAGAAACACTCCATTAACCACATTTTGATCTTCTTTACTGCTGTTTTATTCTAGCATTTCTCTACTCCCACCACTCTGTTCCTCTCTCTCTCTCTCTCTCACACACACACACACACACACAATTGGAGTAAATCCAGGACAAGGACATTCACAATCTTGCCATATTCTGTATTCATTAGACTTCATCTTAAGCACTGTGTTCAATTCAGATTTTGAAGGCACATTAACCAACTGTAGAACAATGGAGTCCAGGACTGCCCTAGAGGACCGGTTGAAGGAACTAGAGAGGTATAACTAGAAAAGATACTTTTTTAGATCCTTCAGTTGTTAAAAGTCCCTAGTAATCTATTACAAACTGAGTGATTTTAATAGTTCTTAACCATTTGCTAACATATGTTTGCAGTGAGGTCCTATGTGTTTGTACTCAGTTCTCTGTCTTTTTTAAAAGGGAATTTTACTTTAGACTATACATTTTCTAAAATTAGAAAAATTATTTTGGAAAAAAAAGTTTGAGTATTACTTTGAAGATTTCATGGAGCTGCTGCTTCCAATCATCTGATCACTTCAGATGGTCTGATAATGTTAGATAAAACCTCTTTATCAGTAATGCACTGGAGTCCTGCAGCACTACTTTCCATATTCAACAAAACCTCTCTTTGCATAGATACATGTGTGTAAAAGCAGAACATTCATACTGAGGCCAGAGTGCCATCGAAGATAATTACAGAGACAGTAAAATCCTTTTACGCTGGGAAAAATAAAATGTTAGGTGTCTCATAAAATTTCAGAACCTGATTTCAAACGGATCATAACAAAGAGGAGATCAAATTTAGCATGGTGGACTGCTCGACAGGATATATTTGTAAGTATGAGATTCTATAAAATAGTTGATAAATACAAGACTATTGGTTTGATATAAATGACTAAAGGATGCCAATTTCATTGGTAGAACTTCTGGGAGTGTCAGCAGAAGTTTTTCTAAGGAAAAAAAGCAAACTAACAAACACATATTCTTTTGCCTGGCTTTCTATATTTAAAACAAAACTTACAGTCACTCACTATATAAATGAATCTTTTAAATTGGGCAATAGAGGAAATACTACAGTTTTAAAGTATATTATTTTATTTTAAATATTTTTTGTGTATATCCTCATTTTAAATGTTTTTCATTTTATATGTTTAGATAAAAATATATTACAAAATCAGACATTTATGAATTGTTTCAAAAATCATGCATTACCAAATTATTAGTTTCATCACTTTATTAGCGATACGGAACGCAGGTGTGGATTTTTGTAAGGTTTATCTGAAACATTGTTAATCTTGATTTTATAGAATGTTTTTATTCTTTTATGTTATGCTTAAGTGCAACTATGCACTAATTTCTTGCATTTTTTAAAGGACAAGAAATTTGTGTGCTGTGTAAACAAAGTCTCGCTAAAATGTAAATTGTTCCAAATTTTACTAAATTTTATGTAACATGCTATATCATAAAATAAAGAAATATATTTAAATGCAGATATATGTTAACAGACAGAATTGCTTTTAGAACATTTATTTATTTTCATGATACTTTAAGATTTCATTTAAATAATGGAGGAAACAAATCTATTTCTGGCATACTGCTAATACAACTCAATCCATCACCAATGCATTTATAATCAGTCTGAGAATTCGATTCTATCAGTGAAATGTATTTCTTTTAAATAATTATTAGGAGAAAACAGTGGAGGCAAAATCATCATGGAGACCTAAACTTGTTCTAAACACTCTATGTTTCTATTGTAAAAGTACATGCTAGTTTTACTGAGAGGGTATTGAAAAACAAAAAAGAAAAGCAAATTAATACACAATGTTAAGATAAATATGGATTATTTAAATAAAGAGCAATGGAAAAATACAAATAAAAACCGTAAAGAAATTTTTATAATGTCATGAAATTAAAACAATTTTAGATAAAGAGTTAATAAATAAAAATAGGAACAACCATAATCCAGCATTTCTGAGGTGGAAAAAGTATTTACTTAAAACTTAAGAGTATTTATAGAAATATTTGCCAAATATGCATTCTCCAGGAAGCACACAATAATCTTTTTGTTTTTGTTTGATTGTGTTATTATTTTATTTTTAGGTCAATGGAATGTTTCCACATATTATACCACCAACATGAGAAAAAAATGATTATTGTTTATTTGAAGCTTGGTGAGTTTATCCACAATTTAATCAGTTCTATGTCAGACCAATTTAGATCACTCTTTCACTGGGAATTCTCTTTTTGCCAAAGTAGATATGTAGTTCTATAAAACATTTAAAGTAAATTTTTATTTTTATCAGTATTGACTACTTGAACTCTAATTTTAAGGGTACAACTAAAGATGCCCTTGGTTGAATTTAACTAACAAAATACATTTATCAATAGGATGTTTTAATCAAATCCTTATCCTAAAGAACTTTACTTTTACAAAAAAATTAGAATGTACCCTTTATGGAATTACCAAGAATATTTCTTAGAAGTTCTCATTTGTAAATGTGAGAGGATTTCATTCTGCCACTCTATATTGGTGCTATTAAACTTTGATTGAGATGTATTATTTAATGATAAATATTGTTGAATGTTGGATTGTAGATACTTCTTTTTAAACCACTGGTTATTTTGCAAATTCTTTGTCCTCAGACTGTGAATTATATTTTCTTATTTTGTCAGATGATATTCTAAGGCTGCCTTTTCTCTTCTCATTTTAGAGGTATGAGAATTTTAATTTCTACTTCTGAGCATCTGCCTTCCATCTTCCAAAATTACTTTGGAATATTTTGTCATTATTTTTCCCCTTGTTTAATGTCCTTTTTCCTTCATGTTCAAGCCTTGCATGTTCCTTTGCTATAATATTACTAGTGTTTGGGTTGGAAGAGATAATAAACTCGGGTGGTCAGTATGACCTTTTTTACCTGAAGCTGAGTTAAGTATTTGTGAATTTATCTCTTTGTTTCAACGCAGAAAGCATTATAAAGTTGGGGGGTGGGGAGTTCTGTGATATTCCAACACAATGGTGGTACATGGTGCTTGTGAATCCAGCAGTAATCAATAGAGAGAAACACAGACATGCGGATGGACTTTCAGTTCCAGAAATCTTAGAATATAGGCGGGAAGGCACCAGGCTCTGGGCACAGGAGCAGAACTCTAGTCAATGGGACAGCGTCCAGTCTCCAGTCCCATTTCCTAAAGGACAGGAACACCAGAGAACATCTTATGGTCTATTTATTCTATGCATAACAACTCTTCTGGTCTATTTATTCTATGCATAACGCATCTCATACACAATTCTGTCACTAAATATTTTCTACAATTTAATCATTGATACCTTTGTGACATTATATTCTATTTGTATTCCATAAGTTAATAAATCTGTAAATGTTTGACTTAAAATGCTAACCAACATATAAACAACTACTTATATGTAATTATCAAGTAACATTCTAATGTAACAATTTAGGAAAGTTAAAGTCTAGTAGGAATAGATAAATCAGAAATATAAATAACATTATATCTATATATATTGCTTCTTTTTCAATGTCACCTAACTAATAAGTTGCTTGGACCAAGGAACCCTCACTGAATCAGTCATGTAGCTGAGCCCAGGGCTGCTATTGGTGTACACAGAGTTTTTGCTGGAATTATTTAAAAAGTAGCCTTTCACCACGTGGATGAAGCCCCACTTGGCTGTGAAGCCAATACTTAGGGGAGTCTGAGTGGATCTCAGCCTTCTCTCTCCTTTTGGACCAGGCATCTCCATAGAGAGAACAACCTGAATAACTGCATTTAAAGGGAAGCTGTGGCTGGGCTGGCCTCTTGCCCCTTTTTTCTCTAACACTCAAACATGCCTGAGCTCTTCTGGCAGCCCCAACCCATCAGTGTGATACACACACCCAGATGTCTGTGAATCCCTGTTGTAGACCCAATTAATTCTAAAGCTGGGACTCAGCCACTAATATAATGTGTGAACAATAGAAATATAGAAACATGGGAACAACAAAAATGAAGAGAAGGAGGATTTGCAGATTATATGTTGACATGTTGAAGAACGAATAAAGTTAATGGGGAAAACTTGTGAGATCTGAGATGAAATTTTAAAAGAGGAAGAAATGCAGTCTAACAGAATATATGTTTCCTGGTACATACAAAAGAACTTAGGAACTATTTCCTGAGTAAAAGCATGCAAGTAGCTGAAGGAAAATCAAATATACTGGAACAGAAAATTTTTGCATACATGCAATTTTTTTAAATCTTTACAGTTCCATTTTAGAGAAAAGGAAAAGGAAATGAAAATCTGAGGTTTAATTAATATGCCCAAGGTCACACAGCTTAATAAGAGCCTGACCTCAAGCACATGTCTGTCTGGCTTCAGACCCCAGAGCTATTTGAATATACTCTGGCAACTCGCAGGAGCTGTGGGAACCCCCTAAACTCCAGTGCATCCAGAAATTACTTTACCTTCACTATACTTCAGACCTTAGTGAGTATTGCATACTAAGACCATTCTGCTTTTGCAAATTTCATTAAATTTATAAAAGAAAATATGATAACCCATTAATAGACATATATTTGAGTTACAGAAATCACCACAATAAAAGGTCTGAAAATGTGTACACATAGTTCCAATAGATCAAGTGAGAAGACAGTGGGACACAAAAACTATTGTTAAAAATAGACGGTAAGGGAGAGGTCAAGTCTCAGCATAAGACAGGGATGACTAATTATACTTACAGAGAAGACATGTAGAGGAAGTAAATTTTTTCCTATCCTCCTACTTAGAAGATAAGCTGCGAGTCACTGTGTAACTACATTTTATAGGTGATCACAGAGATGAGGAATCTTGCAACTCAAACTAAGTAGCTTGAAATTTGAACTAATGTAGTTCAAGGTACAATTACACACAGGACTAGCTATTGACAGCCAGTCAATGTAACAGTTGTTTAGTCTCAATTAATGTCAGTGTTGATTATTTTCAGTCAGATTTATCTTTCTAGAAAAAGATTTCTATTTTTATCACACTGCTATTTAAAGACCTCAGTGGATTACTTCTACTAACAAAATAGAGTCTAACAGCTTTAGTCTGTTATTTAAGGTCATCTAGAACCTAATTACACACACAAACATATCCCTTTAATAAACTCTCCCTTTTGCTTAAGTCTTGTGAATCTCTATTTGCAATCAGAAGAGTACTAATAAGTGAATTAATCTATTCCCTTTTCATTTTCTTCCTTCCTGTAGATACAAATAACTTTATTGCTCCTTCTTGGTCCTCCTCACTTACAGTAGAGACCTACATAGAAAATGAAGTTAATCAGACCACATTTCCCATATATTCTTATCCCCGAACCTGCAAATGAACTTGAATCTATACCTGTATTTTCACTAGTTACAAGAGAATAGTAACTGTTTCCTGTATTTCCACTTCTCCAATGTCTCAACTCCCACATTCTGAATTCTAGCCCCTCCTCCTTCTTCAGGAACCTGAAATTCTATTGGTTTTCCTTCTTTATTGTGGGTTTTCAACCTCTGTCTATGTACCTTTTGCCAGCTTTACAATGTCACTCACATTGTAACTTGACTTATTGTAACAATGCCTCCTAGAGAGACATGCAGACCAGAATGGTCAAATGACAAGAGTCTGCCTCTCTGTCATTATTATGTCTATCAACAGCTTTCAAGAAAGAAAGAAGAAAAGAAAGAAAGAAAAGAAAGAAAGAAAGAAAGAAGAGGGGAAAAAGAAAGAAGGAAAAAAGAAGGAAAGAAGGAGAGAAAAAGAAAGAAGGAGAGAAAGAGAAAGAAAGAAGGAAAGAAAGAAAGAAAGAAAAAAGGGAGAGAGAGAAGAAAGGAAAGGAGAGGAGAGGACAGGGAAAAAGGAAGGAAGGAAGGAAGGAAGGGAGAGAGAGAAGAAAGGAAAGAAAGAAAGAAAGAAAGAAAGAAAGAAAGAAAAAAGGAAAGGAGAGGGAAAAAGAAAGAAGGAGAGAAAGAGAAAGAAAGAAGGAAAGAAAGAAAGAAAAGAAAGAGAAAAGGAAAGGAGAGGGGAAAAAGAAAGAAGGAAAAAAGAAGGAAAGAAGGAGAGAAAAAGAAAGAAGGAGAGAAAGAAAGAAAGAGAAAGAAAGAAAGGAGGGAGGTAGGGAGGGAGGAAGAAGAGAAAGAAAGAGAAAGAAAGGAAAAGGGAGGGAGGAAGGGAAAGAGGAAAGCAGGGAGGAAGGAGGAGAAGGAAGGAGGGCAAACAGAAATTACAAGCAGCCTTTCATTCATCCTGGGCTTCATTTTCTCTTGCTTTCCTCCTTCTTGTTTCTGTCCTCCCTGCTCCACTGAAACCACTCTCAGCAAGGTCATTAATGAGCATCTTGTGAACAAATCTGACATTTTTTGATCCTTTGCTCTCTTAATCGCTTCCCAGCTTTTAACACTTCATTGGCCACTCTTTCCTTTTTGATAAACTCATTCCTTGGTTTCCGTGATACTGTGTTATTCTGATGCAAGCTCCTTTTACACAGCCTTTCTCTTAAATGTTTGTGTTCAGAAACTCATACTGGGCTGTCTGCTTTTTACAGTTCACACTCTCTTCCTGGAACATCTCGTCATTTTTTTGTGGGGCGGGGGGCTCCTCTTATGTGTTTTATGAAAATAACCCACCTTTATCCTGAAGCCAAATCTCTCACCTCAACTTGTTCTCTTTCTGTCTCACCTTCCATATCCAATGGGTCAACATGTTCTAATAGTTCTTCCTCCAAAATGTCTAAAATCTCTCTCCTTCCCTCCATCTCCACTGCCACCTTCCTAATCATCCCTCACCTGAACTCCTGCAGTCACCCCCTAACTGGTCTCCCTGATGACACTCTTGCCACACTGTAATTCATTCTACTCACAAACCCACTTCAAGTCTTAGCATGTCTATTCTGAATTTTAAATCCTGCAATGATTTCCCAGCTTCTTACTGTGAAATCCATGGCCTGTATGGCTTAACATGCTTGGCCTCCGCCTAGCATTACAAATTCTCCCACCACTTTCTTGCTGCAGTGAACATTTTTAAACATGATTATTGGTTCAATCTTAACTCTCTACGCCTCTCAGCTCACTCTCTCACTCTGTCTGCCACACTCTAAATTCATGTGGTCACAAAATTCCTTTTTTTTTTTTTTTTCTTTTGAGACAGGGTCTTTCTTTGTCACCCAGACTGGAGTGCAATGGTGTGATCATGGCACACTGCAGCCTCAACCCTCTGGGCCCAAGCGATCCTCCCACCTCAGCCTCCTGAGCAGCTGGGACTACAAGTGCACACCACCATGCCCAGCTAATTGTTTGTTCTTTTTGTTGGAGAGATGGGGTCTCTCTATGCTGCCCAGGCTGGTCTCAAACTCCTGGGCTCAAGAGAGCCTCCCGCCTCAGCCTTGCAAAGTGTTGGGATTACAGGCCTGAGCCACAGTGCTGAGCCTAAATTCCTTTTATTTCCTCAGTGGGACATAACTCATTGCCTCTTAATCTTTGCTCAAGTTGCCCCTCCTTCACTCAGCACATTCGTGCATATCCTGCTGGTTCCAGCTCAGATATTACTTAACTAGGCTGCCTTCACTAACCCCTCAAGTCTAGTTAGGTTCTCCTCGTAGGCGTATTCACAACCCTGTACTTCCCGTATCCAAGCCCCCATCACATGTTGGGGTTTTTGTTGTTGTCGTTATTTGTTTTTGAGATAGGGTCTCACTCTGTTCCCCAGGCTACAGCACAGTGATGCAATCACAGCTTACTACATCCTCCATCTCCTGGGCTCAAGTGATTGCCCCACTACAGCATTCCAAGTAGTTGGGACTACAGGCACGAGTCAACATGACCAGCTAATTTTTTTTTATTTTTTGTAGAGACAGAATCTCACCATGTTTGTCCAGGCTGGTCTAGAACTCCTGGGCTCAAGCAATCCTCCCCCTTCAGCCTCCCAAAGTGATGAGATTACCGGTATCAGCCACTGTGCCTGGCTCATCACATGTATTTTAATTGCTTGTCAGTGAGGACAGGAAGAGGAGAGACAACATGTATATTGATCACAGGCAATCAGAACTTGGCACATAACAAGTACTCAATAGACTTTTGAATGAATCGTAAAGACAGATATAAAAATTCACTGCTTACCCTTAATAATTCATTATATATGTATGCATATATGTTTAGCAAACCATTTCCAGCTTTAAAATGTGTATTTAATAACTCTTAACAAATTTGTTAGTTGTCTTTTAAAGTCCTGAGTTAAAAACCTTCTATGACACGTATTGTTATGTAAAGGTGCCCGAGATGAATAAACTCTAACTCAATTTTAAAGTCAAAGTTACTGTGCCCAGAGTAGATAAAACCAGATAAGCAGCACCCTTAAAATTCACTCAGAAGGTGGTTTATTTTTTATTTGGCTATTTACACTATTTTACTTGTCCAGTTAAAATGAGGCTCTTTTTCAATACATTGAGAGAGCTTTCTAAAAACAAGAATTGTGGCTGGGCACAGTGGCTCATACCTACAATCCCAGCAGTTCGGGAAGCTGAAGTGGGCAGGTTGTTTGGACCCAGGAGTTTGAGACCAGCCTGGGCAATGTGGTGAAATCCCTTCTCTACCAAAAACACACAATAATTAGCCAGTCACGGTGGCGCATGCCTGTAGTCCCAGCTACTCAAGAGGTTGAGGTGGGAGGGTCACCTAAGACCGGAAATGTCAAGGCTACAGTGAGCCATGATCATGCCACTGCACTCCAGGCTGGGTGACAGAGTGAGACCCTGTCTCAAAAAAATAAAAATAAAAATAAAAATTGTCCCTTTCCTTGGGAGTTGGTGAATTCATTATCAGTAAGCTCTAAATGAAAAGATCTTTTTCAGAGATTGGTATTTTTTGAACTTCATTGTTTGATAAATAGTTAGGCCGGTTGAGTAAAGTCATTTACAAATCTAAGCACATGTATTTTTATAAAATATTTATGAGAGATGAGTCATTTTATTCTCCTCTCTCCTCCCTACTCACCCAGTGATTGTATTCCATTAACTTCAAGAACCCATCCTTTTTTATGATTTATAATATTGTATATTCCTTAGAAACTGACTCTAATATATAATTATGTTAAATGACCAAATTATACAAATATATACTGTATTTCCTTAGAAAAATGAGCAGGCGCAATTGTTGGATTTGTAAGATGTTCAGAGATGAATCTAAGAGGCCCCCTTCAAAGTAAGTAGCATTTAAGTTTCTATGGTAAGTGTAAAGCATATTTATCAGATGATAAATAGGTACATATTTCTTAAACTGCTATTGTAACATATTTTGTTCAGAAAGTAAAATTTGCATTTACACATGAGTCATTTCACCAGAAGAGCAGTCATGTGTTACTAAGATTCTTGTTTTCATTATCCATGGTTTACATGAGAATTCAGCAAGTTAAATGCTTTAGAATCTATTATGAATAGTCTCTGTTCTTTTTAAAAACAAAGAATATTGTTTGTATTAAAATGAGATTCTTCAATCCAAAATATTTTCTTGGTTCCAACCCTCCACATACGAAGTGCCAGAAAGTTTCATACCTAGATAAAGAAGGTGAGACTGGAGGAGGAATCAAATGTTTACCAAGCTCCCAAGTCTCTTCCTCCACACTTTGCCATAACTCAAAATGCAGCCATTTGGATGAGAACCGTGAAAAGAATAATGCCTGAGAAGAGTAACAGGCCATCGCGTTGGATTTGCTCACCTCAAAGAATTCCCAAGTTGAGAACTCCTGTTAGATTAACCATGAGTGCCTAACCTAGTCCATGTCCAGTCCTCAGTTCTGGCCACACCTTTCTGTATGGTCAGAGCCCCTGGCATGCTTGCTCTTTCACTAAAATACCAAAATGTCCAAAAACGCTTACAAGCTACTGTGTGGCAAGGAGAAGGATGCTGCAACAGTGGGCAGAAGAGATAGTACGACCCAAAGCTCAGCATTTTAAATGATCAATGAAGGCTACTGCACTGCACAAGTGCATCCAAGTTCAAAGATATAACTTGTTAATTAAGGGACAGCTCTCCTGTCTTCTGATGATTCCCATAGAGGAACACTGTCACAGCTTGCATTTCTTCTATCTGCCTTATAGACTCACCATGAGAAAAGGGGAAGACCAAAAAGATAAAAAAATCACATTCATGGAAAGCTGCCAGATAACAGTTATTTAATAGGTGCTTGGCATTCATGACCTAATTTAATTTTCAATATAACACTGTGAGATAGATGTTATTACCCCTATTATATAGACAGTAAAATTAAGGTTTGAAGATTTTAAGTAAGACCAAGGACAATTAAGTAGACCACTGGGATTAGAACCTACGACTGTCAGAGACTCCAAACATTCTTCATTCCTTTGCCTACAACATCATGGTATCTTAAAATGCTTTCATATCTGGTATCCACTGTCCATCTGTCCAGAAGAATGGAGGGGACACAAGGGAGAATTTGTATCAGGAAAAAAGGTGTTTCAAATAATCCTAATAAAGGCACCCAGGTAGCCATAGGCCAGCATTAAAATTGTGAGAGCCTCAGAAAAAAATTATAAGCAAAATGGGGTTCAATCAAAAATGAATTTTATTTCCCATCTTTACCCCGAACCATAATTACTCCAATCATCTCTCCCCATAAATCTCATGAGTCTTAGAGACAAAAGAACTCTCTTACCAACAATTATCAACACTTCATTTTAAGCTAACCCAACACATTGATGACTCTTCACTCGTGTTGTAGATTGTATTCTTCCCAACACATTAATGACTCTTCACTCTTTATTCTTTATATAGCTTTTATATAGGGAAGATTTTATTCTTCCCTATATAATGATTAGAACGCACGGGCATTCAATAAACCTTACCTAGCTCTTTCCATTTCACTGGATTGAAAAGGTTATTTTAGGTTACTTTTTCTAAAGTTTTAACAAGAGAAAAGAACAATGACTCAGATAGTATTTCATGGAAATGTTTTTTGAAAGCAATCTTAACACAGTACACTGTTAAGCCTCAGTACTGATGCAAGCAGTTCATCCAAAACTGGCAGGATCCATCTGAATTTTTAGAAAACAAAAGATATCTGACCTTTTAAGGACTCCTAATATTTTTCCATGTTCTAGGATATTTTTTAATCTCTTTAACTAATCCTCTTTCATTGTGTTAAGAACCTGCTAATGCCGATGGCTGTTCCTGCAGCACTAATTTTTAGGCTGCTAATTTTAGGTATAGCCAATGGACCGTGCTTGCATGTGTCTACAGCCATCTTCAATTATCTAGTTGTTGAAAGTAGAACAATTAAGAATGCACCATAAACTGAATGGCAATAAACACATTGGCTATTTCTGTTTCATTTCCAACTTTTATTGTAAGTTCAGGGGCACCTGTGCAGGATGTGCAGGTTTGTTACATAGGTAAATGTCTGCCATGATGGTTTGCTGCACAGATCATCCCATCACACAGGTAGTAAGCCCAGCATCCAATAGCTATTATTCCTGATGCTCTCTCTCTTCCCACGCCCCCACCCTACAACAGGCCCCAGTGTGTGTTGTTCTCCCCCATGTGTCCATAAGTTCTCATCATTCAGCTCCCACTTATAAGTGAGAACAGGCAGTATTTGGTTTTCTGTTCTTGCATTAGTTTGCTGAGGATATGGGCTTCCAGCTCCACTCATGTCCCTGCAAAGGACATGATATTCTTTTTATGGCTGCATAGTATTCCATGGTGTATAAAGTTATTTGTATTTGAGAATACAGTCATTTGCCAATTCACCTCATGAAGCTCATCAAAATGAACAGAATTCTGGAATCTTTCACAACTGTTTTCTAAATGGTAAATGGCTTTGTTTATACTGTTTAGGTCAAATGTAATTTGACATAATACACCTTAATAAAAATTAAAACTGATACAAAAAAAAAATCTAGCAAATAGGAGACTGAGAAAATAGTAGCTTTAGGGTTACTAACTGTATTATGTGAGTGCATGCAAATAGGTTTTGTGGATTAACTCTAAGATTCTAATAGATAAATAGGTAAACACTTGGCTGGTGGCAGCAGCAAACAGTGCATAACCCTTTTAAAAGCAATTTGGCAGTCTGTACCAAAAACCTTAAAAATTTGCCTCTCTTAACCAGCTTTGATTCTACTTCTGCTAGTGTCCTTGAATTACTCTAATCATGTGGCTATGGCAAGCCTTAAACACAGCTGGGCTACATTTGAGTTTTAATGGTGAAAAATGAGAGAAAATCAATATGCTGTTTGAGAATAATTATGAATAAACTATGGAATGCCCCCCTTGTAGCATATTTTGCCATCACCATAAACATTATGACTATCAATGATTATACATTTGTAATTATAAATTATAACACTACAAATGATTAAGACAATTATGATGACATAGAATGCATAAAGTATACACCCACATAATGTGATTACTTCTTGATTAAAAACACACAAATACAAACATAACAAAAAGACTTTAAAAAACTACATCAAAATACTAATAGTGGTAATTTATTAATAGAGAGATTATAGGACTATGGTTCTGTAGAGTATTTATTAAATTATATTTTCAAGTCTATACTATTTGCATAATTTTTATAATTTTAAAAATTTAAATAGTAAAAATAAAATGTAAAATATCACAGGAAGACAACTTGCCAACCAAAACCACACACAAATGGAATGTAAATATGTTTTGGTATCATTTTCAAGATAATATAATTTTACTTAGTTCAACAAAAACCTTGAGAATATTTAGCCCAATCAGTGCTTTTTGTTTCTTTTCAAAGCCTTACTTTGGAGGAAGTGTTACAGTGGGCCCAGTCTTTTGAAAATTTAATGGCTACAAAATGTGAGTATTGTGTATCTGTCATCTTTGAATAACTAGCGAGTTCCATTCTTAGAGGTAAAGGTGGGGGTGCCAGATGATGAATGTATGCTATTCTTCTCACAGCCTTCTAACTGGCAACTGACACAGTTAAAAAAAGAAAACCTGAAAATAGTTTGTTGTGTCAACCACTATTATTTTCTCTGGTGTTAATTAAAACAAGATTAGTCACCGTGAATATTTATTCTTCACAAGTATATGCACAAAATCCCTTGGAAAATATGCTTAAATAGTAACACATACCATAGCCTTCTAAAGTTAGTATTAAACCAAAAACTTACCTCGCTGTTCTTGCTGCCTTCAAAAGTAAAAACAAATTTGAGTCTTTATGTTCTAAAACTTCTCCCCAAAGTTTGTTTCAACTTTTTCAGTGTCTGATTTAAGTGGGACTGTACATGGGTCTGTATATAGTTGTTGGTAAGTATCAACATTAACATGGTATAAATAAGAGATATCAGCAATGGATGTGACAGACATAAAGTCATGGGCTCAGTGCAGGAAAAATAAAGGAGGACGTGCATTCAAGAGAATAGTCAGTTGCGTTTGGGGTCAGAAAAGCTGACAGGTTGTAGAAAATGATAAAACCAGAAGACAGGTACAGAAAAAAATGTAGGGTGCAGTCACAGAAAATTCTCCTGTTGAATTTGGTATTTTTTTAAATGGAGTTGGTTCCCCTCAATGCTTGTTAATTTTTGCCTATAGACCCATCTTTTTATTTAAGATCCCATTTGAGCCTCTCTGTGAATGTTTTATCTGTTTAGAGCGATAGACTATAAAGGAGAGTTAGCTGTGCTACTTACATGCTTTAACTAGTGGGGGTACCAGTAGCTATTCTGGGCAAGGTACCTCCTATTCCTCACAGAGGTTGCCATACTCCTGAGGCACTACCTGCTCTTTCTGACTCAAGACCCTTTTTAGTATGGACTCAGTTGTCACTGCCCAGCCCAGAAGGTAATGGCAGTAGGTGTAGATACTTGGCTACTCCTGCTGAAACACGTTAATCAACAATTCTGGTACTTACTTCTGCCCCATCCCTAGGGCTGGATCTACCTCTACAGGCTTGGGTCACCACCTGAGCTCTCATCTTTTGTAGCACACCTTTCCAATGGGCATTTGGGGCCATAGTTTCTTCCTTTGATGCTATCACCACTGCCTTTCACTTTTCAGGTATTCCTCATAGCTTACAATCCAATTTGCCAGCATGAATGTGAATTTTAAACAAATATATTCTGGGTCAATTTTAGAACACTGAAATGGGATGAAGAGGCAAAAGTATATATTCAGTTAACTATATTGTAAATTTTTGTCCTCATCCTCTGTAACACACATTTTGCCACCTTGCTAGATTGATCTCTTTCTTGGAGTTTCATACTCTTCATCTACAAAATGGGAATGATATCACTTATCCTTTCAGTTTTATTGTGCAGGTGAGATATAAAACATCTAGCTCAATGCCTAATAGGCACACAATAATTGGTAGTTTCTTTTAATAGTAATAAAGTACATGTCTTTGAATATCATTCTTTTTCTCTCTGCTGCCTGCCAACAAGTCCAAAATCTTGGTATTTAATACTCTCTACACCCTAACCCAAAACATTTCCTAAAATTTGTCTCTAGCTATGCCTCATCACATAACATGCACTCCACCAATGTGACTGTCACTTCGTTTTCTACTTGTACATCTATGATTCTTCTGCTCCAGGCTTTTGTTCAAAGTCCTTTTCATCTCTAGTTACTCTGCTCATCTTTGAAAGTTAAATTCAAGTGCCACTTTCTCCAGAAAACTGTTTAGAAATTTTTACTTTATCTTCTATTTTGATAGTATTAACATTTAGTCTGCTTTTCACTGTAGCTAGTTAGTGTATTGGGTTTTCTATATAGTGACTTTCTCCCTAGATTATAAATTCCTTAAGAGCACAGCTTGCCTCTCATTTACCTTTCAAACCCCTGAGAGACCGAAAATGTGTTTTGTGCCCAATGAGCATGCAATAAATGTTCCATGAATAAATACAAGAAAAATATTAGTGAGAAAAGATCAAAACACCAAGCTATATTATGTAAGTTTCTGTGCCAGTTCTGGAAGCCTCATAAACAAAGTGAATAGGCTTAATTATTTGGCAAGGATTTCAAGTGGTCATCTGCCTTGCTAGAATCAGCAATTTAGAAAGCTAGTGTCATGAGAATAAGCAAAGGCTCTAGCAAAGATGAGAATAGGAAAACATCATAGTGCTCTTTATAAAAGCCAGCAAAAATAGGGTAAGAGCTTTTACAGAAATCATATTACAATGAAGTTTATGTAAAAATTCAATAATCACATAAGTAATAAAACAAATCATTCTATGGATCATCCAACCAGTAAGACAAAACTAAAAATATAAATATTAAATGTGCCAGAGAATAAAAATGTGTTGACATTAACCAAGAACATTAGTGAAATGCATGCTCTAGCTGAGATATGCAGATACATATTTTTATACAGATTAAAACATTATTTTTAACAACATGTAGCTCAGACACACACAGGAAAAAGAAATATATCAGCCTGGGTCTCAATAGATGAACCGAAATTGGTTTAGAGATGTTTTGGGGAGCCATTAAGTCATAGCGATCAAAATACAATTAAATTCAACATCTTAGTGGGCAAAGGGGATCCAAGAAAACCATCAGCTTGAGAACAGAACTCTGGCAAACTCCAAAAGTTAATTAGAAATTAAGAATGTTAGCAACTTAGACACCTTTTAGATATGCTATTTAATGCTACATTATTCACGAATACTTTTTTAAATATCAAAGATTTTTTTGTTATTTATATATTTAAATACCAAAGATTTTTTGTTATTTATATATTAAAAAATCAAAGATTTTCTTGTTATTTATATGAAATATAATGTACTCAAATAGAACTAAAGTAGAGAGACTAGCTAGAAGGCTGCTGCAATAATTCAGGTAAAATTGGAACTCAGTGGGGAAGACAAGGCTGGGGGTAATTTGCATACAAATGCTAACAAAAGTCGTAGGGCTATGAGACCACTGAGAGGGAGAGTTCAGATAGAGGAAAACACACCCCGAGATGAAACTTAGGTGTGTGCTACTTCCAAGTGCAGATAACCAGAGAGGTCAGCAAAGTGGATGGAAAAGGAGCACAAAGTGAGATAAGAATGATCAAAATAGTGTGTTCTTGTGGAAGCCAAAGAAGAGAGTATTTCAGGAAAGAAGCTGTGAATTATCAAAGACTGCTGAGAAGTCAGCTGAGGTGAGGAAGGAACAGTGACCACTAGACATGGCAATATGGAAGTCAACAGTGCCTCAACAAGAGCAGTTTCATGGGTATGGTGGAGACAGGCAGAACCAGAGGAAGTGATACACGGCATAGGGAATCATTGACGTAAGTTTTGCTGTGGAGTTCTGCAGAGAAAAAAGCATTGACTGGAAGCAAGAATGAGGTCAATACCGGAAGTTTGAGTCAATAGTTGTTACTAGTTATATTTGGGAAATACAGCAATATATTTGTAGGATGATGGCAACCATTCACGGGGAAGAAACTTATGACATAGAATAGAGTGGAGATACTTATAAGAATAATAGAGGAATGCAAAGTGATGGAAAAAGCAAAAGTAGGAGAGAACCAGAAAAAACTTGTTTGGCCGTCCCAAAAAGGAACAGGGACACTTGCCTCTCAGGAGGGAGGTTATAAAGGAGGAGTACAGATGGAAGTACTCTGGTTATTTCTGCAGAGAAGACAGTGAATATCCATCTGATTAATCTGTGCTCTCAGTGAAGTTTGAGGCAAGGTCTCCAGTAGATTGCTCAATTGCTCAGGAGAAGATGTGTTAGTATATTTTAACATAACAAGGGAGAAGGCATGAAATAGTTTCTGCAGATTTAGAGAACTATGATACTGTGGAAGGCTCATTGGATGACTGGGCAGTGTTGAGTGTCTGTCTAAAATCTGAAGTTATGATTTCAAATATGAAACCATAGTTGTATATTTTTCTCTGGCTTGTTCAGGTTGCCCCAGTATACACACAGAGCAGATGTTAAGTCATTCCGGATAAGCAAGTGCTCTGAATCGCAATGCTTTAATCTTTTGATCAAAATCATCTTGGAATGTACTATTTTCCACCCTTTCTAAATTATCACAGTCTCATGCAGACCACCTTAGAAATGCCAGTTAAACAGTGTGGGATTGCCATACTGCTGAAGGCAATGAAGGCTGCCCTGTATCATGAACCATATGAAGGGCTGGTGCATCTTCATCAGCATCATGGCACAAAGCAGGCAGTAGAAGTTACTGACGGTTACTGCTGCTCCCTTTTGTACATCCTAATTCCAAAGGCAGAGTCATTCTCTCAGCTTTTTTCATCTGTGCAAGCTCCTTTGCTGCACAGTGTGATTGGCAGTTTCCTACACTATCACTTATTCTAATCTCTGCTAACTACTGCTGTTGCCATGGTTCCCTTCATCAACCCTTATATTACCTGCACTGCCTTGCCTCTACCATTTCCACTTAGCACTTTTTGTCTTCTTTAACTTCTCATGCACTTCTTCACCTTGCAAAGCCGCGGGGGGGCGGGGAACTTGGCCTGGTATAGACATCACTGTCCAATTAGTACTTTTTTTTTTGGTATTTCTTTCAGAATTTCAGAAAACCAAAAAGTAATATTATATCAGATATAAACCTGTGGTCTTTAGTGCTTCCTAGATGTTGAATAACTAGGGCCTGCTTCTTCACTTTTCAAGAGCCATAGGGAATCATTTTAAGACACAGAAATATGAGGGATTCAAAAGTCCAAATTGACATGTGCTTATTCAGTGCCTGCTATATAGCAAGCAGTGTTGAGGCAAGGGGTACACGAAGATGAATAAGCTGCAGTCCTGATCCCCTAAGAGTTCTCAGGTGAATGAAAGGATAATGGAAGGAAACCACAGCAAAGAGGGCTGGCCTTTGTCACTGGGGCAATGGGAAATGTTGAGAGGAATAAATAAAGGGCTGTGGCTAGATTTTTGTTTTAAAGATTTTTCTCTAATAAAAGCATAGAGGAAATTGAAAGCAGGATCAGATAGATGAATCGAGGCTTCTTCAGATTTGATGGTTTACAAATATACCTCAAAATTCACAAACAAAAATAATACGTAAAAGAGAACAGAAGGTAATGCAATAAATGTAACAGAGATAGTGACCTCAGTATATAAAGAGATGTGAAAATTTTAAGAAAATACTAGCAATGCAAAGAAAAAATAGACAAAAGATTTGGAATTCAGAGGAAAAAAAGAAATGGTCAGTAAAAATGCAAAACTGTTTAAGCATTATATTTTTAAAATACATATTTAAACAATTACAAGTTACTGACTTCACCCCATTAGATTGGAGAGGGTGGAGTAAGTCAACACTGACACTGCCATTGGGAATGAAAAATAATGAAATCCTTCTGAAAGCAATTTTATAATATGTATCAAGAGTCTCCAAAAATATTACATCTTCAGTCTAAAAATTCTACTATTTTAAATCAATTATTTTTCCTAAGAAAATGGAAGTGAAAAGGTTTATAAGCTACAATATTCAATGTAGGATAACTTATAACCAAGAAAAGGGGAAACAATCTAAAACAATAATAATAGAGTGGCTAAATATATTAGGGCCTATCCCATCAACATACTATTATATGATCACTAAAAATGAAAAGGAGAAAGTGTTTGCTATGTACTATTAACTATGAAAGAATAAGAATGATACAAAATTGCTTTCATATTATAATGCCCATAAGATGATTCCAGTGTGTATTTGTGTTTGTGTAGATGAATGAATTCTAGTTAGGTAGGCAATTATTCATGAACAAAGGATTAAAAGAATAAAAGGAAATATATCAAATGGTTAACAGTGGTTATTACTTTACTAGAAGTTTTCTGCATTAAAAACGACCCACAGCTCTTTAAGCTGTGTTCATATTAATAATATTAATATTAATAACAAAGGTAGAAGAAAAATCAGAAATTATTAACAGCATAGAAGTCACAACAGAGAATTTTAATAAAACTGAAGCTTCAGTGTAAAACTCCACACATATTATGGTAGAATTATGAAATGCATTATCCCCAGTGGTACAGATTGAAAATAAAATGAATTTTAAATTGGCTTAGAGGCATTTCTAATGGTACTGCAACATAGTACACCCTTGGGATTTCCTGCCTGGTGTAAGCCTTGCAATCTTACAGAAAAAATAATTCTGGAATAGATGGGCCACTGTTCTGACTCAGCCATGAGAAAGCCCACATTTCCCTTCTGCATCAAGAACACTGGCATGTGTCACCTTGTGTGTCATAGAAATACTAATTTTAGTGACTAGTTTTAAAAGAACAGTCTAGAGATTCCCAAAGGCACCACTCTCACTTTTTAAGGAAAAAGTATACACTGCGTATGACATAAGCCATTTCTTCCACCCTCCCAATTTAAATGAGCAATTCTGTTGTTTCTCGCTTATTCACTCTGCTCAAGTAGAATCGCAGTCTCCTGAGCATAATGTTCAGGAATGAGTATCATTTAAAACTTCGGAACAGCTTACGCTGCCCGATTTAGAAAAGGCTTTTCCACCTTGTAATTCACTTGTGGTATGAATCAATGGAAATTCTAAAGACAGCAATTCAGTTCTGACTTCAATAATTACTAAGATTCCTGGAACACTTTTACACAAATGCATTTTCAGCTGCTAGCTTGAGTAACTCGCAGTATATTCAGACAAAAATTAGCCTGATGAAGACAGAATTCTGTAAAGTATGCCAATGACGTGAGTCCACTCATTCTGTACACTAGAATTATATCTAAAATGTCAGACAGGCTCAAGTAGTCCAGTTTAGCTTTCACTAGTCACCGCACGGTAACAAGTGACAGAAAATCTTAGTGATTTACAATAATAAAGGTTCACTTTTTTCATGATACACAACAGCTAGGGTCAGCTCCACTCTATTCCATGTCTTCACTCCAGCTTTCGGGCTAAAGGAGCAGCTCTTTTCTAGAATATACTCTTCCTGTGGTGGCTGTGGGGCATGGGAAATAGAACCACATGATAGTTTTTAAACCTTCTGCTTGAACGTGTCCAAGGCACTTCTGCATATATTTCATGACTAACACAAGTTCAACGGCCGACGCTGATATAAACAGGACATGGAAGTATAATCCCCCTACACAAAGGTCAGGAAATAACTGAGGAACAATATTACAATTTGCCACATCAAGTATCTGAAATATATCATATTTTTAATAGTATATATAGAATAGTGTATATCTATGCAGCATATATAGAATACCATATATCCATGCAGTATATATAGAATACTACAACTTGGGATCTATAATATGTGTATTTATGTGCAGAGGGATAGATAGAGGAAACAGATCATGAAGACAGAAAAAAAGATAGATGATAGATAGATAGATAGATAGATAGATAGATAGATAGATAGATAGATAGGGCAATGTATATATGGCTTCATTAGCAAAGGACTTTGGTATGACAAGAATTGTAGAACCATTTGGCCAGCCCAAAAAGAATCAGGGATACTTCTTCCAATCCATCAGGAAGAAAGGTAAAGAAGTCAGATACAGATACAGTTGGTTCTAAAGTGATAACCTATAAACTTTACTATACAATTAAGCTAAACATAAACACAAATTCAAAATACTAACTTGGAATCTAATGTTGGTTTCCAGATCATTTTCCTACCCCTACCTACTCATCCACTCAACCCATCCAAGTAGCCTGTGTGACTGACTCTCATTCCATGATCCACAGATTTTTATCTGGTATCTCATTTTCTTTCTCTTCCATAGCTAAGTACAAACCATATAAATATTGGCTTCCAACTTTACTTGTTAAGCCAGAAACAGCTTTTTGTTCTTTTTGTTGTTGTTGTTATTTGTTCATTGGTTTGTTTGTTTTTTGGTTTGCCACCATTCAGCTATCTTTTTAGGAATTGGATTACCAATTCCTGCATCTATGTTCTCTGTTCCCACCTTTTTGTGCCTATGCTGAGACAAGACACAACTTAAAAGTCCCTTCGGTGTGAAAATCAACTGCTTGTTTGAAATCTAAGTTAAAATATATCCCCCTCACATTGGATAGGAATATTTAATCTATAACATTTTCTATGTTACAGTTATATAATGCCTCCATCTCATCTGTCCTCTTAACTCATCTCACGTTATGTCCTTGTGAACCATCTCACATGCAATGTCCTGAAGGCTGTATTTGCTCATGTGATAATAATAATCCATGTTCCAATTTTGAGTATTCCTAGAATGTAATATTGATATTCAGCTTTCCCCAACTCCAATGCCTCCTTAGAATAGATCTACTTCTATTTGAGTTCTTTTGCTTGAAGACAAAATACTTCGTTATCTTTGTTCGTATATCACTGCTAACAAAGCCAAGCTCTCAAGAAGCCTGGCTTTCTAGTGCTAGGAAACTTGATCTGATCTCTTAGATGAAGATCCAGGAAAATATGATCTTACTCATCATTTCCATTCCATCTGGCTACCATTATTTCTCATAACAGTAAATGATACTGACCAAGATAGTGTTAATCAAAATCCTATGCTTTTGGAGGTGATAGATATGCTTATGGCATTGATTGTGGTGATAGTTTCTTGGGTGTATACTTATCTCCAAATTCATCAAGTTGTTTTAAATTATGTACATCTTTTTGTAAACAAAATATCCTACGCTAACAGTCTCTAAGTGGTTATTACTCAGTGTGCCTACACAAACATTTCTATTAACATAAATTGAAAGTTACATTGTTGTTTTATCATATAGCAATCCAATTCCTTGGATATGCCAAGACACTTTCCAGGCTAGTCTAGTCAAAAAAAATTAATATCTTGAACCTTGAGAATACTTGGTCCTCCCAAAGATTCCAATGAATATGTTAGATTTGTGAGAGCTCACCTAATCCTCTTCTTCAAATACTAGCACCTACAAAGTAGTGTCTTAATTGGAAAAGCTCCTCCTAGGCTTATACTTATCTCCACACTCCAGAAAGGCAATTTAAGATCAGAGCTGAAGATAAGAATCTCTGGCATCAAGTGTCATGTGATGGTTACGCTGCACGTAATCCCTGTCCTGTACTAGATTCTGAGATCGTTTCCAGCATCACATCTGATTTTTCATTCCTTGTCTGCTCCCTTATTTCTGGCTTGAACCATAAACCATGAATATGAAGTTGAATTTTTCATCTATCTGTGTTCTGCTCTGATTGGACATTGAAAAACACTCCAGGGTATACAAACTAATTAGAGTATCACTTTTACATGGCTTGGATATTTTTCTCCCGATCTTGACCTACAAGTTTACATCTGAAACCCTGCTCTTACCCTATAGTTTGGCATGAGGTCTTAGATTTTTCATGTCAGCTTCATGATTAGAGCCCTGTCCTCCTGAGCAGCTTAAGTCCTTTTCCTGGGCTCTCTGATGTCTCCTGTCCTATCCGTCCTAGACTCATCCACACTGGTGGGTGTTTTGCTCTGAGTGACTCAGAATAAAGGGATGACCTCACCAGTGATCAGCATTGTCAAGCATGCTTCAGATGTTAGCTCTGAGTGTGTGATAGACATGAAAATTGATATGTAGAGATAGATATAAAATATTTACCTGTTAAATAATTTGTGAGTTTTTAATCAGGCTTTGTTTTAACCGTATTGCTTAGATTTTTTTTGGTGATTTTGACCCATGAAAATAAACTGATTTCTCCTCTACTTTTAGATGGTCCAGTAGTCTATGCAGCATATTTAAAAATGGAGCACAGTGACGAGAATATTCAATTCTGGATGGCCTGTGAAACCTATAAGAAAATTGCCTCACGGTGGAGCAGAATTTCTAGGGCAAAGAAGCTTTATAAGATTTACATCCAGCCACAGTCCCCTAGAGAGGTAACTACCTCACAATGACGGGAATGGAAATCAGTTCATCCCTGCAAGGGCACTAATATGGATATTAGCATCCATAAGTGCCGGGCACTTTACATCCAGTGTCTCCTAAAATGCTATAAATTCAGTATTGCTAACCTTATTTTACAGATAAGAAACCTGAGACTCTGAGAACTTGTCCAGTGTCACACAGCCATTTAGTGGTAAAGTTAAGATTCAAAATTAGACCTATCTGGCTCCAAAGCTTCTCCCCATTAAATTATCTTAATTTCTAGGCAACTTAAGAAGAAAAAAGGAGTCTATGGCAAAAGTATTGGCCTTCCCAGCAGGAACTATAAATTCCATGAAGAGACATGTGAGAATCCTGTGTTGTTGGGCAATGAGACATAAAAAGTCCTGTCAAGGGAACAAAGAGAGAGGACAGTATATGAGATTTCTATCGCACAGGGCAAGCCTACATTGTTGACATATTCCCCAGAACTCTTCTCTGGAAAATACCTGGTTTATTGAAATAGCCACTTCTCCCCTCTATTTATCCACTTCTCTTCATTTTCTTCCCATTTCAGAGCATATTCAGTTAAAGCAACATTTGTGACTATTAAGGGAGATAAATTTTTTAAAAGCACCGATTTCTCTTTTCTTTAAAAAGAGACGTTTGTCTTACAAACTCCCTGGTTTGTAGACTGCTACGAAGAAACCACTGCGTCCTGCTGAGTAAGCCGTGGTTTCAGAGACTTCCCTGGCCTGGAGCCTCATATTTTTCTTTTTTGTTCCTCTTGGATGTGGAGTTGGATATTTACTTTTAAAAAAGCAAAATGTTTATTTTTTATACATCTTCTTAGATGCCTATACAACTACAAAGAAAATTACCCTATTCCACTGAAAAGGAGAGCAGGGAATAAATTAAACCTTTCTATTATATGTGCCTTTTTTTCAACTATGCTTACTGACGCTGTACATGTAATTTCACCTTTCAGATTAACATTGACAATTCGACAAGACAGACTATCATCAAGAACATTCAGGAACCCACTGAAACATGTTTTGAAGAAGCTCAGAAAATAGTCTATATGCATATGGAAAGGGATTCCTATCCCAGATTTCTAAAGTCAGAAATGTACCAAAAACTTTTGAAAACTATGCAGTCCAATAACAGTTTCTGACTATAATTCAAACGTGTACATAGAAAATGGTATATTGAAAGTAGTGGGTTTGATCTTTTTATTTAGAAACCCACAAAATCAGGAACACAGTATAAATAAAACAGAAATCAAACTCTAAATTGATTTTTAGTTCCTAAAAAGAAACATATCTCAAAAGCAATGGAATCTAGAATTCTTATAACATGAATAACAACATTTACAGCATACCTATGTAGTTCAACTAATATATAAGGAAAAGGAAGGTTTTTCTTCATGACACAAGTATTATAAAATTTTTACTGTAGTAGTCAATTAATGGATATTTCCTTGTTAATAAAATTTGGTCTCATAATTTACAAATTAGTTCTTTAAAAATTGTTGTTCTATGAATTGTGTTTCTAGCACGAATACGTTCTATAGAGTACTCTAAATAACTTGAATTTATAGATGAATGCTACTCACAGTACAATCAATTGTATTATACCACGAGAAAATCAAAAAGATGTTCTTCAGAGACATTTTATCTGTAAAATTTTCCTACTATTATGTTCATAAACAAACTTCTTTATCACATGAATCTTCTACATGTAAAATATTTCTGATGATTCTTAGCTGTTAAAAAAATATGAATTTCTTAATTTGCTCTTGCATTTACATTGCTATAAGGATATAAAATGTGGTTTCTATATTTTGAGATGTTTTTCCTTACAATGTGAACTCATCGTAGTCTTGGAAATCAATAAAGCCAAATGTCAACTAAAGACTTACATTATCTTTTTCAAAGACAAAATAAATATATTTTCCAGTACAAATTTCAAAAGGCCTAAAGTTGGTATATGGTGAGAATATATAATATTTGTATTTTCCATAGTTTTCCTGGAAAGTGTAGACAATTTAATACCCTCATTGGATATTACCTTCCTATCACTTCAAAATATTAAAAGAATCCAGATTCAATATCCATAATCAGAAGCTCATCATATTTACAAGTGTAAAAGTTGATCTGTTCCATTTTATAGTTAAAAGGGAACAAATTAGAAATTTCAAGTCTTGTATTCCTGACGGAAGAAAACATTCAAAAATGATTTTTCCCTCTTGGAATTATTTTAAAATATGCGTATTTTCTCTTGATTTTGAAAAGTGGCTTAAAATAGACTTATTTTACCCTTCTGCAGATGCAAAGTTTTTTCTGTCTTTCCAGTGATTCACTAATTGGTTTACCACTGAATTATTTATTCTGTGAGTCATTATATTTTATTGTTACCAAGAAGCGTAAATTTAGTCAGAGTCAGATGCTTCTGTAGTTCACGAAATCACAGACGTTTTTCTGCAGTACCGTCCACTTTTAAAAGATGAGCAATGTGAGTAACTACACAGCCAACCATAGCATAGGTGCTAAGAAGGAATAAGTCACTAAACCACCTTGCCTCCAGCTCTGAAACCAAAAAAGCCTACCAAAAAAAAAAAAAAAGTGAATACGCAAAGAAGCATCACTGATACAATTTAAATACACTTTAATTCTGCACAATGGAAATAATACTGAATTCATTGTTAAGAAACTTGGGTTTCAGTTCTGGATTTCCCAGGTTAGCTATATAAATTTCTTTAGGTCTAGGTAAACTAGCAAATTATACAAATTACTTATTCTCCCTGCTCTTCAGTTTTCTCACCTTTAAAATGAGGTGATTAAAATAGATAATACCTTAGCTCCTTTCCAGCTTCAAAATCCTGACTACCGTCAGTACCTTTTTTTTTTTTTTTTTTTTTTTTTTGAGACAGAGTTTTGCTCTGTTGCCAAACTGGAGTGCAGTGGCACAATCTTGGCTCACTGCAACCTCCGTCTCCCAGGTTCAAGTGATTCTCCTGCCTCAGCCTCCCGAGTAGCTGGGACTACCGGCGCGTGCCACCACACCCAGCTAATTTTTCTATTTTTAGTAGAGACGGGGTTTCACCATGTTGGTCAGGATGGTCTTGATCTCTTGATCTCATGATCTGCCCGCCTCAGCCTCCCAAAGTGCTGGGATTACAGGCGTGAACTACCGCACCCGGTCAAAAAGTACTTTTAAATTACTGAGTTCTTCATTATCTGAAGGGTTTTGTGTGATATTCCATTGCCTTTCCATTGATTTCATAAATGTAATACAATGCCATACATTCAAAACAGATTTTTGCCACAAAAATACTCTTCTAAGATCACGTGTTCAGATTGCTCCCTTAACTTAGGCCTTCCCACACCATTCATTGCTGAGACTGGTGTTCTAGCTCCAAGAAAAGCCTTCAAAGATTGTAGAAACCAGTAAGGAGGTTCCTCAAAAAATTAAACTACCATATGATCCAGTAATCCCATTTTTTCGTATTTATCCAAAGGAATTGAAAACAAGATCTCAAAAAGATATCTATACCCCTGTGTTCACTGCAGCATTATTCATAACAGCCAAGAACTAGATGCAAACTACATGTCCTTTGGCAAATGAGTGGATGAAGAAAAAGTTATACACACATACTCAATGGATTATTATTTAGCCTGAAAAAGAAGGAAATTCTGCCATTTGTGCTAATATGGATGGAGCTGGAAGACGTTTTGCTAAGCCAAGTAAGCAAGACACAAAAGACGCCATGATCTGGGCCGGGCACTGTGGCTCACGCCTGTAATTCCAGCACTTTGGGAGGCTGAGGCGGGCAGATCACAAGGTCAGGAGTTTGAGACCAGTGTGGCCAATACGGTGAAACCCCGTCTCTATTAAAAATACAAAAATTAGCCAGGCCTGGTGGTGGGTGCCTGTAGTTCCAGCCACTCGAAGGCCTGGGGCAGGAGAATTGCTTGAACCCCAGAGGCAGAGGTTTTAGTGAGCCGAGATCACATCATTGCACTCCAGCCTGGGTGACAGAGCGAGACTCCATCTAAAACACACACACAAAAAAAAGACACCATAATCTGAATTGTATGTGGGATCTAAAGAGTCAAACTCATGGAAGCAGAGTAGGATGGCAGTTGCCAAGGACTGGAGGGAGAGGAAAATGAAGATATATTGGTCAAGGGGTACAAAGTTTCAGTAATGCATGATGAATGAGTTTTGGAGATCTAATGTAGAGCATGGTGACAATAGTCAACAATACTGTATTGTATACTTGAAATTTGCTAAGAGAATAGAATTTAAATCTTCTCAACACACACATTCATATACACAAATGGTAACTATGTGAAGGGATAGATATGCTAATTAACTAAATTATGATGGTCATTTCACTATATATACATATATCAAAACAGCAACTTGTAGATCTTAAATATACATGATTTTTATAAACCAATGATATCTCAAAAGCTGCTGAAAGAAGCATTCATAGATGATCCTGTCATTATAGGATGTAAAAGTTTCATGAGAATAAAATATTAATTTTTTTATTATTATACTTTAAGTTCTAGGGTACAAGTACACAAAGTGTAGGTTTGTTACATAGGTATACATGTGCCATGTTGGTTTGCTGCACCCATCAACTCGTCATTTACATTAGGTATTTCTCCTAACACTATCCCTCCCCCAGGGCCCACCCCCCAACAGGCCCCAGTGTGTGATGCTCCCCTCCCTGTGTCCATGTGTTCTCATTGATCAACTCACACTTATGAGTGAGAACATGCAGTGTTTGGTTTTCTGTCCTTGTGATATTTTGCTGAGAATGATAGTTTCCATCTTCATCCATGTCCCTGCAAAGGACATGAACTCATCCTTTTTATGGCTGCATAGTATTCCATGGTATATATGTGCCACATTTTCTTTATCCAATCTATTATTGATGGACATTTGGGTTGGTTCCAAGTCTTTGCTATTGTGAATAGTGCCATAATAAATATACATGTGCATGTATCTTCATATGGGCATGATTTATAATCCTTTGGGTATATACCCAATAATGGGCTTGCTGGGTCAAATGGTATTTCTAGTTCTAGATCCTTGAGGAATCACCACACTGTCTTCCACAATGGTTGAACTAATTTCACTCCCACCAACAGTGTAAAAGCATTCCTATTTCTCCACATCCTCTCCAGCATCTGTTGTTTCCTGACTTTTCAATGATCACCATTTTAACTGGTGTGAGATGGTATCTCATTGTGGTTTTGATTTGCATTTCTCTGATGACCAGTGATGATGAGCATTTTTTCATATGTCTGTTGGCTGCATAAATGTCTTCTTTTGAGAAGTGTCTGTTTATATTCTTTGCCCACTTTTTGGTGGGGTTTTGTTTTTTCTTGTACATTTATTTAAGTTCTTTGCAGATTCTGGATATTAGCCCTTTGTCAGATGGGTAGATTGCAAAAATTTTCTCCCATTCTGTAGGTTGACTGTTCACTCTGTTGATAGATTCTTTTGCTGTGGAGAAGCTCTTCAGTTTAATTAGATCCCATTTGTCTATTTTGACTTTTGTTGCCATTGTTTTTTGCATTTTAATCATGAATTCTTTGCCCATGACTATGTCCTGAATGGTATTGCCTAGGTTTTCTTCTAGGGTTTTTATGGTTTTAGGTCTTACATTTAAATCTTTAATCCATCTTGAGTTAACTTTTGTATATGGTGTAAGGAATCAGTGTTCTACATATGGCTAGCCAGTTTTCCCAGCACCATTTATTTTATAGGGAATATTTTCCCCATTGCTTATTTTTGGCAGGTTTGTCAAATATCAAATGGTTGTAGATGTATGGTGTTATTTCTGAGGTCTCTGATCTGTTCCATTGGTCTATATCTCTGTTTTGGTACCAGTACCATGCTGTTTTGGTTACTGTAACCTTGTAATATAGTTTGAAGTCAGGTAGCGTGATGCCTCCAGCTTTGTTCTTTTTGCTTAGGATTGTCTTGGCTATGTGGGCTCTTTTTTGGTTCCATATGAAATTTAAAGGAGTTTTTTCCAATTCTGTCAAGAAAGTCAGTGGTAGCTTGATGGGGGTAACATTGAATCTATAAATTACCTTGGGCAGTATGGCCATTTTCATGATATTGATTGTTCCTACCCATAAGCATGGAATGTTCTTCCATTTGTTTGTATCCTCTTTTATTTCATTGAGCAGTGGTTTGTAGTTCTCCTTGAAGAGGTCCTTCACATATCTTGTAAGTTGGATTCCTAGGTATTTATTCTCTTTTCAGTAATTGTGAATGGGAGTTCACTCATGATTTGGCTCTCTGTTTGTTATTGTTGCATAGGAATGCTTGTGATTTTGGCACATTGATTTATTGTTGTATAGGAATGCTTGTGATTTTGGCACATTGATTTTGTGATTTTGGCACATTGATCCTGAGACTTCGCAGAAGTTGCTTATCAGCTTAAGGATACTTTGGGCTGAGACAATGGGATTTTCAAAATATACAATCATGTAATCTGCAAACAGAGACAATTTGACTTCCTCTTTTCCAAATTGAATGTCCTGTATTTCTTTCTCTTGCCTGATTGCCCTGGCCAGAACTTGCAACACTATGTTATATAGGAGTGGTGAGAGAAGGCATCCTTGTCCTGTGCTCATTTTCAAAGGGAATGCTTCCAGTTTTTTCCCATTCAGTATGATATTGACTATGGGTTTGTCATAAATACCTCTTACTATTTGGAGATACATTCCATCAGTACCTAGTTCATTGAGAATTTTTAGCATGAAAGGCTCCTGAATTTTGTCAGAGGTCTTTACTGCATCTATTGAGATAATCATGGGATTTTTGTTGTTGGTTCTGTTTATGTGTTAGGTTACGTTTATTGATTTGCATATGTTGATCCAGCCTTGCATCCCAGGGAGGAAGCTGGCTTGATCTTGGTGGATAAGCTTTTTGAT